CACTAGAGAGAAAATTATGCAAAAAAAATCAATATATGAAAAAAAAATATGGAAGATTTCAATTACTTTACAGGCACTATGTACTATGTACTTTTTAGTATGACTGCAAGCTTTGCAGAGAAGAAGTAAATGTGCCAGGTGCTATGGCTCATGTTCAGAGGGGAGCAACAGAGGCTGAACATAGAGAGGCCTATGTCAGTTTAATTTATATAATAAGAAAGTATCTCTAAGAAGCAACCTATGTATGGACTTAATTGTTAGTTGAATTAATAAGGAAAAACAGATGGACTTTTGCTTTCACAAAAAGGCTGGAGAACAATTGCATTGAGACAACAACTTTCATATACCAAAGGTAGATGATTTCTATATTTTACTGTAAATCAGACTGGATAGGAATGTTTATAGAACTGCCATAGAAGTTTAGAGGCAACGCTTGTTCTTATCCAGAAAAGAAGCATATACTCAAAGGGAGTAATTAATAAAGGCATTATCTCTTGCAAGTGTTCTAACTTCCTAGAACAATACATTCACAGCATGTCTTTAACTAGAGGGCTACTAAACATAAATTTATCAAAAAAAAAAAAAATTACTAATTTACTAAACATCATTTAAAATTTGTCATTCTTCAGAACAGCAGAATTTAAGAATTTACTTTGTATATATAGAAAAATACATTACTTATTGTCGTTTATTGAACACAAAGAGGTGCTTTTAAACTCACATTGCAGTATCAGTTATTTACTGTGTTCTCCATAACCTACTGAAATTCTGCAAAACTCACCCATTTCTAACTTCTCTGGGAGAACGGCACACACAAAAATTACAAGGCTGAAACAGCACCTTCTTGCAACTATATTTGCAACTATATAACTATATATAATTGACTGTTGTGTTCTAGTGGTCCAAAACTCTTTTACATTTTAAATGGTCATGGCACTTTCAAAATCTTATTCTGACTCTCCTTTGAACTTTTTTTTTTTTTAATGTATAGTCAAGTGTAAGAAAAGGACTGTATATTACTACACTTTTGAATCTAAATAGCAGCAAAAGCAGGCTAGAGAAATAATAAATAAAAGTTACAGATTCTCCTTCCCATCTGAAGAACCTGCACATCTGAAATTCTTGTAATTCTTTTACATTGTCTCAAATATGTCCCTTTGTTTGCTTAGGCTTAAGCCTGAGATTTTCAAACTCAAAAACAATTTGCATTTTGTTGTGAATTAAGTTTTCCCCTAACCCCTCATATTTCTTAGTTATCTCATTCAAACAAGAGAACAGTAAGAATGCAAACTCATCAAATTTGCAGCAGTTGTGTTTCACTACACGTCTAAGAGATTTGGACTAATCCCATGAGAGCTGAGGCCATATGTATATGGAATAATAATTTCATATGTGATATTATATTTACCCATTCTTAGATTAAATGGATTTAAAAAGCACCCATATTATGCCTTAATTATACCTTAATAAAATTAACTGTTTTTAATCTGCTAGAGCAAAAATATGTTAGTAAAAAAATTATATCTACAAGAAAAGAAAAATGATTTTAGGTAGATAGCATGCACAGCTTCATTCATTTCCAGAGCCTGTTTTTTGAACTGAAATCGAATTCTGTATGTTACAAAACCAAATTTTAATTCAGGAACATGGCTTAACAAACAGGAAATGCAAAGTGACTTGAACTACACCAGACTTAAAAAATCAACAAATAATAATAATAAAAAAGAGAAACGTGCATATTTTTATTAATAAAATCTCACTGAATCCAATGGGGTTCTGCACAGAACAACGTGTCTTGTATGGGTGGACTTCAAGGTATAAAGCATTAAAATGGTTCTTCAATAGACAGAATCAAAGAACCCAACTTTTTAAAAAATATTTGTAATTTGAGACATCTATCCTGATATATTTTATGGCAAGATTTTCAAGGGAAGGAAAAGGAGATTTTCCACAGTTTGTAACATTTCTTAGTAGCCTCAGAATGACCATCTGATCACTGTTTACATAGCTAAAATCATAGCCAAAGGCTATACAATTTCATGTTGATGTACAGTAAGTTAGTCCAAGCTCTATTTTTGTCACCAAGACACAGTGCTGCACTATAGCTTAGTTATGAGAAGTAGCCTGAAGTTTCTTGAAATTATGGAAGATTCTTTTGTTTTTGTTTTTGTTTTGTTTTGTGTTTTTTGTTTTTTGTTTTCTTTACATTTTTCTAAGATTTTTTTTTTTTAATGAAAATATGTAATATTAAAGTCTAATATGGGTCAACAAATGATATTTTAGAGAAGATACTAACTTATTTTACAAAGATATATGGATATTTCCTTTTCAGTTAGCTCTGGTAATTGCAGTACCTCAAGATCATTTAATTTCTAGTTTGATTATTTTTCTGGCTATATTCTGCATTCTGGACAGTAGCCCAGCCATGCTTGAGTAATGATAAATGGTTGAGTGTAATTTTTAAATTAAAATAAAATTTTAGTGTGTTTTCAAAGACTTGTAAAATTAGGTCAATGGCAAAGAAGTGGTTTGCTTTGTTATTAGCTTTGATAAAGAAATATTACAGAGAAAGCCTATTGCTTGCTTGCTTGCTTGTGAGACTCCTAATGCCTGCCAGTCATTTGTTTTAGGAGGTAGAGATTCAAGCTTGTTCTGAATATGTCCATTTTAACAGAAGCACAGCATAGTACAATAACACATGACAAGCACTAAAGGCAATTATGTATCTGTAATAGCATAAATTCTATTTATTATACTTTCTAGTAAGTAACAATTACTGAGAAAATCTGCAGAACCTTTTTGGAGTGTGTTTGGGATGGAATTTAATATCATCAAATTCAATCCTACTTTAGATTTACTTTGGATTTTTGAGTATTATATATTTGAGTTTTCTTTACTGTTGTGATGACCATTTGTTTACAACAGATACGTGATCCTTTTTGCAAGAAGCTTATTTAGTTCCCTTGTCTTCCTTCTGTTTGTATGCAGAGAAAGCTATCAGAAAAAAAAAATAAAAAATCCTCAGGCCACAAGGCAAAGGCTAATTTCTGGGACTGGGAAGAGGCTAACCCAATAAGAATACTATTGAAAAGTTATCATAAAAAATTACTTTCCTGTGAATGCTCTAGCCTTAGCCAATTCTGGCAACTCACAGCTGCCTTAAGTAGATCTAGTGTAGTCTGTAGGTAGGTTACTTATTGGCTCTTGATTCCAAAGGAGAAATGACATGGCAGGGTTGAGATTTTCCCTTCCTTCACCCAACTGCAACAGAAGAACTTAAATTCACCAACTGGAACATATTTTACAGGTCTTATATTAAATCTCAAAAGCTCTCAAGCAAGTACTGCTCAACAAAGGGAAGAATCTGATAGCAAATTAAATTTTGTTTCTGGTATGAAAAAACTGCATAGATTATTTAAGAATTCTGTTCACTGACTGACATTATGTATATAATACAATATACCGACATATGTATATAATTCATTGCCCAAGCCAGTGACTAGCTGTTACTAGAAAGCTATCGTTTCTCTTAATTTAGATTAAAGGATATGAATAGAAACTTTCTCAGCCTGATCTCAAGTTCAGACCTGTTAAGTGCATGCTTATTTATTAAAATTCTCCCAGTAACGTCATACACACTAGAGCTGAACAACTCAATGTCTCTTAAAACCACAGCAAATTATTTTCTGATCTTTAACGTATTAGAAGACTATACTGAAGTGTCCCTTTGAGGAAAGCAAATAATACTTTCAAGGAAAGAAAAAAAAAATTGCAATAAGTGGTAAATCAAGCATGTCTCCTTCAGAGATTATTTCCCTTGGATGGAGTGGCTAATCACTCAGATGCAGTTTGAGTGAATCTTTTCTCCTTTGTAGCTTTTGATAACTACTTGCTGGACATCTTTGCTTATCATCATGTTATAAGAATGAACATTTTTCTCATTCTACAGAATGAGGCACTCTGCAAACTTTACGTTGAAGGCACTCATCTCTGCTGAGAGTCTCAGCATGAAATTGTGTTTTTATTTTTAGCAACGTATTTGAAATCAAACTAAGTCAGCTCCAAAAAAGCAAGACATGTCCATTGGAACCATCCACCCTTACACTGATCCCTGCAGTCTTCAGCTTCCAAGAGCTGAGATTGAATCCTTATTACAAGTGAATACCAACCTAAATTTCCAAAAGGCAGCAGACACTCCAGATTTTATTTTTTGTAAAGATAAGCTATCATGCACATGCCCTAAATAAGTGACCTGGTCTTCAGATGATCTGAGTACTTACAGTCTGCACTAGAATGGAGACAGCTCACAGATAATTCATTTTCTTGAAAAATTAGGTCACTGTCTGCTGTACAGAAGCATCTGATTTTAGTTACCATTTTTGAAAAGCTTAGCCTAAGGCTTTTTGCAATACTTTAATACCTATTATGTTTAGAATTTCCAAAGTATACATAATTAATTATAATGTATAAATTGTGAATAGAAATCCACAAAACAGGGAAATAAATAAGGTATTTTCTAATACAGTTCATATTGGAACCATATTAGTTTTCATAACAAATACTTTTTTTTTTTTTTTTTTTTTTTCCTGTTTGTCAGAAATAAGAGATCTAAACTAGTTACATCTTTGGGTCTGAATCTGAGAATAACTATTGCACAGCTATCAATAAAATGTCCTCTGCTTCCCTGAGATTTTGTCACTGTAAATGATTACACTTTCTGAAGGAAACATCAAATATAAATGGCAAGTTAGGTTTTGGTGCCCTTTGAGGCTTCTTTTTTTTTTTTTTTCTCAGAATAATACCAAATCTGACTCCCACTTTAATAAACTTTGAAAAAGGTAACAACACACTTCTTTCAATATCAGCAATTTCTGCATAGGAATTACATGACATTAATTATGTTTTTAATAGTGGGATGATTAAACAAGACAGATTACAATGATGTGTTCATTCATATAATACATAATCCCGAGAGAAATAGGAAAGATTTCCACACTGACCATAGTCTGTGTTTTCCGGCTCCCAACAATTTGATGGCCAAAAATAGGGTGTCTATAGACAAAAAAAAAAAAAAAAAAAAAAAAAAAAAGTAGGGAACTTAAGTTAGACAATGCAAGCATTACACAGTTCTTGGGTTGATACTGTTTTTCAAAATCAATTTACATTTTTGGTAGATCTATTATATTGTTAACTTGAAATAGGCATCAAAACAGAAAATTATACACTCCGTTATTGTACTAGTGTCAGAATGGCATTGAAGAAGAAGAACAAAGTGTTCTTCTTATTTTTAAAAGTAAGGGAACAAAAAAAAACAAGTTTAGGTACTGAGGTTCTTTTTCATCTTCCCTAGCAACACACCTCTCACATGACCTGAAGAATCAGTTTTAGAAGGTGAAAAAATGGAACATATTTTGGGATACATTCAGTTCTTGATTTTGAAGAGTTTTCATCAGGGTATATTACTATTCAATACACTTTTCTATGAGTTATTTGTTTAAAAATGCCAATAAACACATCCTATTTTCACAAAGTTATCAAAGTTGTTTTCATCTGTGGAAACCTATATTTTTCCTAATTATTTATCAAGTGTCATTTTAAATATGGTATCTGAATTGAAAGCCAAGAAAAACATCAACAAGTATTTCAATGCTATGTTTATTAAAAGAGTGTGAAATGCATTGTTAAAATATTTCCCATGTACCGAATAAAGAATATGAGACAGTCTAGCCATTTTTCACACCAATAACTTCCTTTTTAACATACTAACTTTCTTGCAAAAATCTAAGGGTTATATTATTTTATGCATAGTGCATTCATATAAATACAAACACACAAAAAAATTATATACCATTTGAGAAGTTCAATTAATCTAATTAAACATGTGGACCGGTCTGTGCAGTATTTCAAACCACAGGTACCTCTTTAGGTAAACCTTCTGTTTTACTCTCTCTTTCCTATTGTTTTTTCTCAAAACATCTTCCAGGTGCACAAATGGAAACTTCTCTTGCTGCTCACTTCCCTCAGAATTGTTTTAATGTTGATATAGAAGTCAAGAGGACTGAATGGTGACACATTCACACCTACTGTTAGGTTAAACATGTATTGTGAAAAATCTATCTCTATTGTAACAATGACCTATCAACACAAACAGCTGCAATTTAGGACTTGCTACATACTATGCTACAACAATGAGCTAAGAGGTTAAAGATAAATATTAGAAATAGAAATAGAAATAGAAATAGAGAAATGGAAAGGGAAGAGGAAGGAAAATAAAATAGTAAAATAAAATCACAAGTAAACTTCAAAGGCTGAGATAAGTTTCTTGTCAGTTGTTTCTTGCTTTGTAATGGAAGGCTAATAAGTCATTCTTCCTGCCAACTGTTCTTTCACCATGCCACAAAAATCAGTGACCTGTATAAGCACAGATGTAAACAGAAAGCAAACTCCTAAACAATAAATAGTAGTACTCAACAAATGCCAAAGAAGCAAGAAACTAAACTAAACTAAACTAAACTAAACTAAACTAAAATAAAGTAACCATGCCAGTCATATAAAGCACAAAGTTACTATCATTTAAGTTTTCAGAGCTGGGGGGGAAGAGCTGTCCTTCCTTAGGGGCTTAAAGTGCATCTTTAAAGAGGCCCAAGAAGGAAAACATAACTACATCACTGTCCTGCTAACAGTAATCTTAACCACTGTTTACATGGGTTCAAGCTGAGCTTATTGAAGAAGAATCCAATGAGGGGGGATACCAAATATACTATATGCACTCAAGCAGGTCCTAAACTGAAACTGGCTGGGGCTCAGATGTTGCTTGTGGGGGAGTAGCAGCTATGGTAGAGGATGTCTGGAGAAAGGTACAGGGGGAGAGCCTTTTCAGAAGTAGAAAGGCAGAGTTCTTATGGTTGTGGGAATACTTGCAAAATTCCTCATAAACACTTCAAATTTCTCTTGAGAAATAAGATATACTCCTACCCTGATTAAATTTGAAAAATTAATTCTGTCTTGTGATTTTGAGCCAATGCCAAAAGAAGATCTCTTGGCAGAGAAGGTCTTCTCAGGCAGAGAAAGTCTCTTGGGAAGAAAGTAAACTAAGGGATGAAGAGATGGAAGGGAGATCACAGTTATTGAAAGAGCCGTATTAAATGTTAAATTACCTTTAGAGGAAAAGCATAATGACAGACTGGTAAAACCTCACTGGCAATTTCCAATCAACTAAACTCAGAAAGAGATCAGGCAAAAAGCACAAATGAATAAGTATGCTACTAAGTCTAAGCATCTCCGCACCACCATCCCTCTGGAGATAAAAGCAGGGGAGTAAAAACAGAACATGAGTTTTAATTAGCAAAGTACATAAGCCGTAATAAAAGGTTTCATAACGTGTTACAAGATAAACCAAAAGAGAAAATCCATCAGAAAGAAAACCTTATAACATGGGAAAGGGTTTCAAGTAACATTATAGATAAGTACAGATGATTATTAGATGTCTTCCTTATTTGAGTCTCTGAAAGGAGGGAGACTGTGAAAGATAAGGGTCTTTCTGTCATGGAATAGCAGGCAGGCATGAGCTCTCCTTACTGAGGCTCTGACCTGGGCAGGCACAAGCTGCATTCCAGCTGCAAGCTGTGGCCCTACCTGCATGGTGCTCAGATGCATTTAATGGGACCTGCTGAGAAGTGTAACTCAACAGCTCAGACACTGCAATGTGGCTGGGGCTGGCATCCAGCCAGCTCCCAGTGGGAACAAGTTCAAGTCTGCTTGCAATCAGCTCCGTGAACATGCCCAAAATTAATTTTGACATGAAGATAAGACTACAGAGCAAAGTACAGGAAAAAAAAAAAAGAGAGAGAGAGAGAGAGAGAGAGAGAGAGAAATATTTATATGAGGTCAGAACATTTAAATTAGAGGCCTGATAAAATACACCACAGAATGCTTAAGGAAAGCTGTGCATTTTCATGCAGGTTAACTGTGGGTTCGTTTGTAGAAAACAAAAACCAAGCCAAATAAACAAAACAACTCCTGATTCTGCAGCACTGAGATGCATGTATGTGTGTGTTATAAGGGGAAAATTGTTCTAATACTTCTTTCCCTTCTATCTCTAATTCTATAATAGCTATGGAGAACCAGTAAGAGTTATCAAAAATACTGGATTATCTGCATGATATTTGAAAGGGCTGCAAGTTATCTGAAGGCTAAGTTATGCCTGGGGGAAAAAAAATAAAAAGTCATTTAAATTACCTCTGAAACATGAGCAGTTATTAAGAAAAGAAAAGAAAAAGAAAAAGAAAAAGAAAAAGAAAAGAAAAGAAAAGAAAAGAAAAGAAAAGAAAAGAAAAGAAAAGAAAAGAAAAGAAAAGAAAAGAAAAGAAAAGAAAAGAAAAGAAAAGAAAAGAAAAGAAAAGAAAAGAAAAGAAAGAAAAGAAAAAGAAAAGAACACACAGAAGGCAGATGAGTCTCACAAAACTAGAAAAAAAGGAAAGATCTACCTCTTGCAGAATGGGGACAAATGCTGAAATTTTCTGGATTCTTTCTGGATTCTTTCTAGATCTAACTTCTAGATTGAACAATTGTCATACAATATGCATTTGTGAATCCCCAAAAGCTAAATGTAGAACGTACCTTTATTTCTTAAGAACATATTAGGTCTCTGATGGTGTTAAGCCCTTATTACATGAGAAATAAACCATAGATGAAATGTACTTTAACCAAAGCAAAGTACCATATTGCTTTCTTACTAGTAAATAAAGAATTATGGTATCACAATTAGACAGGTGTTCAAAAGCATCTACAGCTGCTGATGAAGTTGTATGCAGAGAGAAGGCTACCATTATTTACTTTCAAAGCAGGAAATGGCATTGGTGGGTGCAGAGACAAGAGAAATTCTCCTGAGGCCAGGCACAAAAAATTAGGGTAAGGGACAGGAGTAAACTTAAACAAAAGGAAAATAAATAATATATAAATAAATAAATAAAGGAGGAGAACAAAACAAAACAAAACAAAACAAAAAACAGACACCAGTAATTAAACATGACAAAAAATCAGATCCTATTAAAGGATTTTTGCAGTGCCATGATTCTACACAAAAATCCATCAATGACAAACTTGTGTGTAGTTGAAATGACTGATGTTTTCCCAAGGGTGTATTCTACATTTTCTTGCTTAATTGTTTGGTATTAACAGTCATAAAGTTCTGGTTTTAATCTACCTCACCATGTGTCACACACACTGGATAAAGTGGAATACTTGATAAATTATAGCAATAGAAGTAAATCTCCTGGCTGAGAAAAGACCAGGGGAGAAACCTCATCACAAGACTCACACAATAATACAATTCAGTTATTAGAAGGATACATTCTGTTTTCAGGGAGACATGTTCCCAGGAGCTGGCTAGGTTCTGTCATGTACCAAGCAGCCTCTTGATGCCTTCGCTCTCCAGGAGTCCATTCTGAAAGCAGCCTCCTTCTTCCCAGTTGCAGTACCCCTCAGCTCCAGTGCTGCACAGGCTCCTGCCTGCCTGCACAGAGATTTGTAGTGCCAAGCACTGCCATCAGGCAAGCTAACAGTGACCTTACACAAGGTGACAGACAGAAATCCATGGAATCTTTTACTCCAAAACCCCAATTTTCCTGCTGATGAAGTCTGGAGTATTTCTTTGACTTTGGAGTATTTCTTACATATTTTACAAGACTCATGTGCCACAAAATACGTGGCTGCCTCTCCCAGTTCTATAATGTGAGTGCTGAGTTCACATCTTTTCTCTTCTGTTCCAAAAGTCTCCACACAATTTCACAGTCAAGATATTTAATAATCCCTCTGAAGAATTTGCTGGAGAGGTTATCCATGAAGACTGTGGAACAAAGGATTTATCTTGTTCAACAAGGAAAGATTAGGAAGTAAGAAAAGACCAATAATAAGACCCCAGGTCTCAAGGAATGAGTTTAGGAATGAGTACAGGAAGAGTGTGCAAGTGAGAAAGCTGGATCATCTTGTCTGATTAAAACACTCTCACAGCAATACAAGGAGGCTCTGCCCATGTAAATAAACTCTATACC